AAGGGTGGTATTTTGCTAATACTAACCTTTCCACTCTGGTTGTGGAAAGTCTTTCTGAATGTCTAATATATAAATTAGACACTTTAAGTAATTGCTGCATTAATTTTCATTGATATTTTTTGTCAAGCTGGAAAAAGATCAATAAGCTTTCTCCTAATGAACTCATTCTAGGAAACCTGTTATTTTTCAATAAGAAATTACAATTTGAGTTCTCAGCTCTGGTCCAGTCACATTGTTATGTAGCAACCATGTTGTGCAGCTACTAAGATCACTCATTTTTTGAAAGTTGTTTTTTAAATGTTGCTGAATAATTTGTGAATTTTGCTTCTGTGGAGAGGGTCCTGCAGAGCTGCTCAAGTAATGCTTCCCTGCTATTTCCTGGTCAAAGCTCACTTTCACCTGGCAGAGTTATTGTTTATTAAGATCCTTGTGAAAGAGATGTCCCAAAAATCCGTCTCTGCATCTGAACTGTTTGAGGTTCTTGTAGAACTAGGGAACTAGGCCATGATATTTTAGAAGCTGGAAAACTCAGTAGTTTCAACACAGATTCCTTAATACAGTGCCCTTACAACCCTGTAAGAATTCGTCCTTTTGCCTGTTTAACAATGCTGGCAGATGACTTTTATCAATGATAGAAACTTTTAGCTGATAAATGGACTACTTTATGGTTGTATTTCTCTAATACACCAGATTTTGAAAGCATTACTATGATTGCATGGTTAAGAGGAAAAGGGAATGTTTCAAGAAGAGAGATAATATCTAAGACTTTTTATGAAGTCACAATTAAGTTAATAAGCAGCCATTAACATTTATTGCTTGTAATGATAAAATAAGTCATTCCTTACTTCTCAGGCCCTCAATGATTTATATCATTAAGAAGATCTGGCACCATATCTAATTGGAGATTTTCCTTATTGCGATTTCTGCTGTGGAATCTAAGAAAGGCTGTAAAAAGTTGGAATCACCCCCTGCTCGTTCTTAGTTGGGCTGTTCCTTGATGAAGGGTTACTCTGAGTGAATGTCGGTGCGACTGCACCAATGGGCACACATTCAACGAAGCGAGTGTATTCTCCTTGCAGCACCGTAGCCTGGTTCTCCACATTTGCTGTGTCATGCCACAAAAAAGCAAAAGTTTCTTCAGATCTAATGAACTCCTTTTAATAGTCTTGGAGGACCCTGCCAAGAGAAGCTTATTTGGTAGAGTACCTTTTGGGGCAGTGCTACAGAAGTAATCCTTCTGTACCTTGTTTTCATGCTAGGCAGAACTGGTGGGCAAGATATTTTATGGTTCTCAGGCACATTATTCATATAACCCTGAGGCTGATTCAACAGTCTCTGATTTTAATTATGAGCACATTCCCAAAATAGAGGGGAATTAAAGCGTTCATAACTTTAACTATTTTTATTCCATATTGGGATGAATTATTCGACTGCATTGACTTTGTGAGTCATTTGCTGGGTTTCACAACTTAGTGTCTATTTCAATTAAGTATTTATGATCCAAACTAAATATTAAGACTCCAAATTGATTGTTTTTACTTACAAGCGGTGCTTGTCTGTCTGCCTGCACTGCAACCCCAACATAGCTCAGCCTTCTCATTCCTAATACACAAGTAATGCGAAATACCTGATATACAATGTATTTTAAACAACGTTTTATTATCCAGGATGAAAAAAATATGTTAAAAGGCAGCTGATTTTTCTTCTCAGGTGCTAAATAAGCTTTTAGCACTTTTGGGGCAAGTTAGGTGTGCACATCGTTACAAGTAGTAAGGTGACAAAGTGGCTGTGGGTATATCTGATACCTCACCCCAAGTTCTCTGCCTTCTGCTAACATCCCACTTATCTCTGACATCAAATCACGGTGGAGAGGGGCTCAGCAGAGACATCAAACATTTGGCTTGTGTAACGCACTGTGCATCATCTGTCAACTTTGTGACCTTGCCTGAGCAGCCTTTCCCAAGAGAGGTGGTCCTGACAACTTCATAGGGACAGAGATAGAATTAATCTACAGCTGCCTTTTGTACTGTTTTTTTTTTTTTTCCCTCTATGCACGTTTCAGAGTACTTCAAGGATGCTCAAGTGTATTTATAAATTTTACTCTGTTCTGTCTCCTTCCCCATCTTTGTTCTCCCTCTTTTGCTTTCATCATTCTGTCCTGGGAGACTTTCTGCAATTTTCACATAAGAATGGCATGATACACATATGCCTGAATGTTTAGATGCCTTAGTGTTGTTTTAGAGACCAGCTATTAGAATTGTTAATAATCCATGACTCCATTTATCCATTTAAAGGTCGTGGAACTGGTGCAGGTAGATCATTAAGTGCCTAATTTATGACTCCAGGTCATGTTTAAGCACTTGTAGTTTATTCACAAAGAACGTTATAAAATTCTATTTAAGTCTCACAAAGTCAAGCAGTTAAAATCAAAGAATGTGTTTGTGAAGGCTGAAGTCATTCTGTGCGTAAATTTGCCCAACAAATACCTTAGGATGATAACTGAATCACCATAATGAAATCTGCAATAATGTGTGTGGAATTTCATGTGCTATGGTGATTGACCTGATCTGAAATGAGAGCTCTTCACAGAGCAGTGACACAGCACTGCCAGTGCTTCACATACAAATACTCAGAGAAGCCATGTAATTAGCAAAGATAGAAAAGGGGGAAAAAAAAAAAAATAGAAAAAGAAAACTAATAATTTACTGGAAAATTAATTTTTCATAGTCGATGTTGAAAGAAAAAGTGGAAAAGCAACGTTTGGGATGCCAAATGCAAAGTCAGTGAGTACCTCCGTAAACGTCTCGCACATGAACAGCGTCTGAGGGCGCCCCTCACTGCGGACCCATGACAGGCAGTGCTGGGCACTACAGTCAGTGGATCCCGAACAGCTTTAACCAATTTAGGGCCATCCAAGCCAAGCCATAACAGCATGCTGAGTGCTTCTTGCAAACACACAATCTGACAAAGCCCAGTGCCAAAATTCCATGGCGTTCAAGATCAGCACAAAGCAAGCTCCAGCGTACCGGCTGTATCCCAACCTGGGTTCTTGGTGCAGACCATGCTGAGCAGCAGGAGTTTCAGGAGTGGCTCCGGCATTACCCGCAGTAGCTGGCACGGCATATACATGGTGATCTGTGTGGGCATCTCGGAAAGCCAGGGATGTTCAGGGGCGTACAGCAAGACAACAACCTGCACTCAGCAGGGTGAGACGGAGGGCTGCACATCCACCTCTAATGGCTGCTCCAAGAGAGTTACCTCTGTCTTTCTGGTGCCAATTCTCTCTCACTTACTCCTCTGCTTCACTTAGTTTTACTTTGGCTTGGGAAGGGGGAAGGGCAGAGTCCTGTGGACTCACTTTGCTGGAGATGGGGCATGGGTAGGCTGGCAGTGACTGTACAAAAACTCTCGCTTCACTCAGAGTCTGGAGGGAGTCGTGTCGGGAATCCGAGGGGAATTTCTTTGTATGTATATAGAAGTATTGCTGAGGTAAGGAAAAGAGAAGAGACAGTTCAGAACCACTGGCAGGGGAACTTCCAGTATTTCTGGAAACTTAAAAAAGATATATTCCAACTCTAAATTAACTGGAGACACACATGAGCCTATAAAGTAAAATGAGTTGAGAGTATTGTAAAAAAACGGATTTGTAATGTACAGCCGTGATGTGCTGAGAAACTAAGCATTTCATGTTTTATGTTAAATAAGTTAGTAAAAAAACCTGTAGAATTGGGAAAATTGCAGAAGTTTGGTTGATATTTTTTTCAATTTGAGAGTCGTCTTCTTTCTATGAGTTTTCGTTATGAAAAGAAGGTATGTTATCAATTATTCTTTAAAAATATTCTCCAGTTGTGTTACTTTGTTAAAGGCTACTGGTCAGAGAGTTGTAAAGCAGTGCTGGAAATACTGAGATAACTGTACATTTTCCCAGCTGCACATTTCCATGAGTTTTACTGTTTTGTCTTTAAAGACAAAGCATGTACAGGTATACTGACAAAGTTATTCCTTTGTCCCTGATTTTGGGAAAAAACAAAATAAAATCACATTAGAAATATATAAAAGCTTAAAAATCCTCCCTTTTGGGGAAGCAGCAAGAGACTGAAGTTAATGGGGTTTGACCAAGAGCATGTGCCAATTTTCAACAACCTTATTTTTGTGACAGCCTAAGAAGCTCCTGAATGGGGAAATTTATAGTGGAAACGTTGGCAGGAATTGACCTAACACCGTTTAAATGGTACCAGTATGTTAGAAAATGCACTGGATACCAGACAGCTTTCTGTGGAAGATGATAAACATCCAAGGTCTCTGTCGGGGATCTCAGCAGAGCCGTTTTTGTTATCCGGAATAGTGGGTCTCTTTACTGCAGTGTTGTTTTTACACATGATATATGGGAAGGGGGATGGAAAGAACATTTGTTAGCCGTTAACGTTTTTATTTCAACGTATTCTGCAGTGTGTATTCAGCCAGCACATACTTAATTCTTTTTTATTCCAATAACTGTGTCTCTGGTACAGCCCTTTTTATTTTATCTTATTTTCTCCCTTCTTTGAGAGCACAGATGTGATGCAAACTCTCTGAATTATTCTGTTGATCACTTGCATGCTGAGCTGCATGCTGGTAATAGGAAGTGCCCGGAATTAAATCTTAGGAATTTAGACTGGTTCCCAGTGAAGAAGTAAACAAACAGCATGAAAATGACGGAGCAGGAGTTACACCTTCCCACCCTCTCCTTTCCAAACCAGACAGCTTTCTGAGCCACAGTTTTGCACCTAGCCCCTTCGGAAACAACTCACATTGTTTTGCATGCACACAACAGTTGGGATATTGTCCAGAATAGTAGCAGAAATTAAGTAGCTATGTTATTTATAACCACAAATATTAATGTAATATCTGCTACAAGTATTACATGTCTGGTTTTGTTTTCTGAATGAAAACACTGTAGTTCTGGTGAACTGCAGACAGCCTGTGGCTCAGTTATTTAACCTGCGTACGCTTTCCTGCAGGGTGAGATCCAGCAGCTGTTGATTATCGCTGACCCCAGAGCTGCATATGACTATTGTGAGCATTACAGCCCAGACTGTGATTCCCCTGTGCCCAATGCTGCTCAGGCTCAAGATCCTCAAGTTGATGAGGTGAGTACTCAGTCATGAATGACCAGATTTACTGCACATTAGTGGTTGTGCTGGACACAAGTTACCTAAGGAGCGTTTACGGCTAAATGGCATGCGTTGGTCTAGATGCGGGGGAGGAAGGCTGGAGGAGTGGATTCACAATTTTGCTATCCAATCATTTATGTCAAGCATCTGAAGGAACTTACCACACTGGTATTTGAATAACCCAAATGCTCAGTGAGGTTGAACTGTAATTCCTTAAAAAAGATAGCAATATGAGTTTGTTTAGGTATACCTATTTGTTCTTCCTGTGTACGTTTATGATTTCATGGATGCTGAATACCATCACATGCCACATTTGAAAGGTACAGGAGCGATGAGCATTCTGCAATGGTAAACAGCTTCTGCTAGACATGCCTTCTGTTCTAATGAGCTGTGTCCAGTGTGCAAATGCATGTGTACATGAAATTATTTGAGCCAGCTCCACTTGTAGCAGATACAGGGACAAAACAGAGTTGGAATTTTTCCCAGACACACAAAAAATATTTACAGAAAGCATTTGTCACTGCAGACAGTTCTCACAGCCATAAGCTTTGTAATTCACTGGAGGCAAGGTAGTGCCTCAGATTAGACCTCTGAGGGTCAGCAGTTGCATGTATTGTTGTACACATTCCAAATACTTGCATCAAACTGGAAAGGGGAAAGCTTTTGCAGAACATAACTAGTCGTAATTAAAATTGGCTCTGGACAGTTGGTATGTGCTCAACTGTGTGTGAGTTGAGTGGTTATTGTTACTGATTGCTCAGAGATCTCCATTAAACACTTGCTGAATTGTTCTCAGATGCCTGCTTTGGGCCAATTTTGAGACAGGGTTTTGCCTAAATACATGATAATTTTATTTGTTGTTACCATCTATTCTACCTGCCTGAAAACTATGGGGAGTGTAAGGTCCGTAGGCCTGGAGCTGAGTTTAAAGGGCCTCTAACATCCCTTACTTAGGAGCTGTATTTCAAAATGTGGTGATTACACAGAGGCCGAGGCCTTTACACACTCCCTACGTTACAGTGTATGGAGTCTGGTCTCTTCATGAAGACCTTGTAGGACCTTCTGTCTGTGTGCCTGGATACACGGATCTCTGTGCACTATATTCTAAAAGAGAACAGGCTGAAAGCATATTGTTGATATTTTATGGGAAGAAAAAAAAAGGGTGTTTTGGTTTGGTTTTTTTTTTTTCCCCCCTCACTCTTAAATTTCAAGACATTTGAAATTTTGCTGGGAACTGTCCTGGGCTTTGCTACAGTGAGACTTAGCCCTCGAATTCTTTTTCTGTTTCCTGTGAGGAGACCTGGAAGGTTTGACTAGGCTACTGCTTTTCTACTTTGAAGTAAGACTGAAGAGCAGTCAATCTAATAAACTGATCTTTGTGGGGAAACGATGGTTAAAATCTTTTCAGGATGAAGAATGCACACTTGTGCTTGATTTATTAATAGTGACGACTGGTGAATTATTAGAGTATAATTCACTGTTTTGAAAGGATGTAGAATATGAATAAAATAGCCCAGGGATTACACTTCCTCCATAATGGATGACTAGCTAAATCTCCTGCTGTCAGATATTAAGTTTGTACTGTATCAAAGCAGTTTAACACTAGCATCAGTTGAGAGCACTCTTTTCTAGATCAAAAGAAAAATAAGCCTCATCATAATTATAAAAGCTATATGCACATGTAGTTATATGCTCATCATATAGAATCCCCAGTTATGTACTGCATATCTGTTGGAAACAGTCTCTGAGCACCATACAAAGAAAGGGAACCATAAAATCAAACAACTGACGCTGTTCTCCTTGAGCATCCTGAGTTAAGATCATCCTCAGACTAATGGAACTGCCACTGGAGTCAGCAAATACCCTATTGTTAAATTCAGCGGCCATTGGGAGAACCTCTGGGGGTTAGTGAGTTTTGAATGTGCTTTTCCAAGGCCTTTTTTTTTTTTTTTTTCCCCCCTTTGATAACACATATAGCTCGTGGGGCCACCTACAGAGAACAAAGTAGAATCAAAGATCTTAATTTGCAATGTAACATTTTAAAATTAATTTCAAAGGAGCTAAAAGATTTGAAACATGGAGAACTGCCATTCCTGTTTGCTTCCATTTATTGCTCTGAGTGGTGATTGAATCATTTTGCTTTCTGAACTAGGAATCTCCTTGAGGTACACATCGTA